CCCCCCCCCCCCCCGCAACCTCCCCACCACCGGTCCCCCCAGAGCCAGCTCCTCCCCCTCGCGCCCCTCCCTTCCCACTGGTCCCCCAGAACCCGCTCCTGCCCTTTGTGCCCTGGAATTTTTCACAAGCCTGCGTGATGTAGTTATACTGACCTAGTTTCCTAGTGTAGACCAGGCCTGAGAGAGACAAGGGGCTTGAACCCTGGGGGTCACTACAGCTTAGCTGGGCTACCCTAAGGCCTTCCTATGCTGCATTCCCACTGACTCCCCCAGCTGTCCTGACAACACCATTTGGTGTCACAGCAAATGCTGGGTGAGGTGCATTAATCCCTGAAGGATGGACACGTCTCTGCCAGGAGTCTGTCTGCATGGGACTCGCTGAACGGAGCTCACAGTGTGAAGCAGGAGTGCAGAAAGCCCAGAGGTTCAGTCTGAGGAGGCGGTGACGCCGTGTGGCTTGCCCTGGAGGAAAAGCGAGACCCCTTGGGGATCTGGCCCACTGAGGGGTTCCTCCTGTTCCAAAGCTGGGGCATAGCACCGATCCTGTGGATCCGTGACACCGCCCTACTCTGTATTTATTGTTACCCTCAGAATCCCTTTGAGTCCCCTTCCACTCACTGTCACCCTGATAAACCCCTCACACGCCCACCCACTGTAACCCTGGCTCTCGGACACCAGCGGCAGACAAGCATTTTCACTCACTTCATCTCCAAGGTCAGGTTGGTGTTCACTGCTGTGGACGGGCTGATGGGGATGCGGTAGGTGATGTTTCCTCTCCTGCGGACACAGACAGAGAATTCGATATCTCGGACGGAACCTTCTGTGGGATGGGAGCTGGGTTCCTCCCCCAAGCAGGCAGCACCCCAGCAAGGCTCTGCGGCTTTTGGGGAGCAGCACAAGCTGGAGCTTGGGTAATTTGGCTCAAGAGATCGTTAATGTGAGATGCAGCCATTCATCGCCAGCACGCAGGTTCTAACACAGCCCATCAGGGCTGGATGGGCAGAGGATCCAGGAGAGGAGATGGAACCACTCACCTCTAGAGCATCAACTCCAAACATGGCCCTATGTCAGCAGTGGCCCAGAGTCATTAGATGACTGGGAGCGTGTGTGAAATGGGCTGGTGGGGGTCTCAGTCCAGTTCCTACTGGGTCAGATGAGCACATCACAAACATCCCTGCAGCTGACAGTAATGGGCCTCCCCGCTGGCAATTCCAGCAGAGAGGCCAAGGATTGACTGGGGGATGGAGACTGAGTGCCCCTCCCTGCCAGAGGTGGCCTATGCAGGCTGTGGCAGGCTAGCAGGACAGCATGTGGGAAGCCAGAATTGCTGTCCCTGCCCTATGGGTAACCAGAGGACTTCAGGAGCTGTCAATCTGGCACTCACTCAGCATCCCGGGGGAGGCTGGGCCCTGCCTCTCACTCACCTGCATGCATCCCTGGCTGCACAGTAGTGGGGAGTGATGGCCATGTCATTCTCCACAATCCGGATGGAGCGGAGCGAAGCATCCGGCCCTGCAGGGAGGAGAGAGGTTACTGAGACGGGGAAAGGTGGCCAGAACTCCTGGGCTTGGAGAGTCAGAGTGGTTGGAGCTGGAAGGGACTTCTGGGGTCCCTGAGGCTATCCCTACCCCCGAAGCCCATCAGTGCAGAGGAGTCACAGTTTTCTGCAGGCTCCCTGCTAATCGCCTGGCCAGTTCTCCCCTGGGCAGGGTAAGTCCACTGCCCATTAGGTTTCCCTGGCAGACAGCACTTCCTACCGCTCAGCCTTAGGGATTAGGCCAAGGTTTTCTAACATTCGGCTTCCCTCCTTCAATAAGTGGTTTTCAGAGGTGCTGCGTACTGGCAGACTCCAGGGACTCCAATGGCAGTTGGGGTGCTCGACCCCCCCGGTAATAAAGTCACTGGCTTTGGGTGCCTAGATGTGTATTTAGGTGCTTAACTTCAGAGGTGGGGAAGGGACTCTTGCTGACTCAGACTGGGGTTTCAGAGCAGTCTAAGGGACTTAGAGGTGCCCAACTCCCTTAGGTTCCTCTCTCCCCTTCCTTGGCCAGCTGGGACATGGAGGTGACTGTTAGCACTAGACACATGCAGCTCTCCTAGCCTCACCATCGCTGCATCTTTCAGCAAAGAGGTTCGCTGCCCCCGTTCAGTGTGTTTGCACTGGGTCACCTGGTTGGGTTTATAGCCCAGATGAAGCAGTGCTACAGCTGCACCCCTCCTTGGGCCCCGGTAGCACCGATCCCCACTTTATACAGCTTCTTTACCTCCACTGCTTGGGGGAGGGCCACACCCAGGACTGGAACTCTCCCTCACAGACACCACTGGGGAGAGATACGAGGGTGTCTCTGACTCCAGGCCGGCATGCAGACAGTTCTGGGAGTGGCCATCCTTGGGCTCTGGTGCCATCATGTGGCTAAAGCCACATGTCTTCTTCATACAGCATTTCTTTCTCTCTCTCTCTCCCATTTACTTCCTTTGGTTTGGTTTGGTTTGGCAGAGAGAGGACAAGTTGGGGGCAAAGAGTGTGTGTGGGAGCCACACAGCCATGGGCCATTGGGAGCATGGGGCTCGGGTCTGGGCAACATCCCCGTGACCCAGGGAGCTGGCAGAGGGCACCAGGGGAGCATAGGGTTTTACAGGGATCCTCTGGGTTGACTATTTGCATTATAGCTCACCAAAGGGTGGCACGTGAGCTCTCTATCGAGAGCCAGTAGCCTACTGGTTGTCAATCAGTGTGAAATGTATGTGTGGGTAATAATTAAAGAGTCACGTATCTATAGTAAAAATTATGTTCATAAAGTCTTGGAGTTACCAGGCCGGTTACCAGGCAGTGACATACCTCGGCAATGTTCCTTTCAGGCTGGAGGTAATAGACGCCTAGGCTACCTCCCTGTCTGGCCATTTGTGTGTTGTGTGCTCACACTGTGTGCCTGGTTGCACACTAAGCCAGGTGCTAATCAAGAGATTGTAAAGTCTACAAGAAAGGAAATCTACCAGATGAAATGACATTCAGTAGGGATGCCTGCTGATGAGCAAAGACAAAGGATGGGACTGGTATATCATGGAGGGCAAAGAAACATAAAGGATCCTTCACCTAGGAAGCCAGCTGACAGTGTATTTGTCTCATGAAAGGAGGATACACAACCAGCCTGGCTTTAAAACTCTGCAAGGATTTCGGGCGAGCAATATTCTACAAGACATGAGAGTATCTTGTGAATTAAGTCTAGGCTCTAGTATGCATGTTATGATTTTGTTTATATGTAGCCATTTGTTTCCAATGCTTCCACTCACTACTACTTGACTCTTTCTGCTTTGGTAAATAACCTTATACTTGACTTCACTACAAACATATCCAAGTGCTGTGAATTGAGCGGAGCAGTGATCTGAGCTGGAACTGGTAAGATGGGCAGTACGGCTTCTTTGGAAGCAGCATATCTGTGAACAATGCCAGTGCCCAGTGGACCAGGGGCTGGACACTCCAGGGAGATGCTCAGAGGGCTCAGGGGTTGGAGCATGCCTATCGCTAACCTGTGGAGGGCCTGGAAGGCCTACAGGGCAGTGCTTGTGTTGCCCATGGGATTGGGGACCTGACCCCCGGCAGGCACAGACAAGGCTCCCTCACACTAAGGGCAGGTGGTAGTGAGGTGCCTCACAACTCTGGGCACCGCTGGGAAGCGTCACAACCCAAAGTGCAAAGAGGCTGCGAGTGCTCAAGCCAAGAAGATGGAGAACTCCACACTTCACTGCTCTGCTGGCTGGGCTGCTAGCCCCTGGCCTTTCCAGAAAGCCTCACCCCCAGAGCTGCAAAGACCCCTCATTCCCAAAGCGCTTTACAGGCATCGGGCAAAACTCAGCTCTGCTGTCAGCAGCTCCACTCCGCTGACGTAAGTGGCGCCTCAGCTCTGGTGAGACGGACAACGCACCAGAGAAGAACAACAGATTGGTCTGAAATTGCCGGGGGGGGGGAGGGGGAATATCAACTAGACTGCACACACAGCCACCCTGACAGATGCATCACAGTGATGCTGTGGGGATGTACTGGGGCATTATGTCGCTGTCTGGATACTAATGGAATGGCCACTATACAGATTTCTCTTGTCTATTACTCCCAGGCAGGGTGGGGAGATGAGATCCCCAGGGCAGTGTGCTGGCATGGCCACTGTGTGCGGTGAGGGGAATGAGAGGGTTACAGGATTGACCACATATGGGGGAAGATGGGAGTCCGTGTTTGGCTGCAGTGTTGGGGAGGGAGCGAGCGCAGGCTGGGGTCTGGGTATGGCCGCAGTGTGTGTGTGTGGGGGGGGAGGGCGGGTTACAAACGGGCTGAAGGACATTTCTGGTGTGTAATGCTGCTGTTTGGATCTAGCCGACCAGACTGCTGGGAGAGAGGGAGGGGGCCCACTTACCGTCGTGCCCAGTGCCCGCAATGCCTGGCTGCTGGCTGGCAGGCTGGGTGATGCTGCGCTGCTGCCGGGTCTGCCCCAGCGGGAAGCTGTTTCGTGACAGCAAGAAGCTGGAGATGTATTTGGATTTGCTCTGAATGTGGGTGAAGGGGGAGGAGGGGCTGGCGTTGGGGCTGCCGAAGCCCTGCGACCGCTCCGGGGTCTTTGGCCACTTGGCGTGAGAGGTCACCTTCCCCGTCACACCCCTTGATTTGGCTTTGATACTCATCCCTGGCAGGAGGGAGGTGTGGATCTGGTCTGGAGAGGAAGGGAAAAGAGGGATCAGAGTCAGAGAGGGGAGAGACAGAGACAAAGCAAGGCAGGTGCTTCTCCAAGCAGAAGCACCATCAGGCCATCTCTGAGGAAGGCAGCAGCTTGTTACAGGAGGCAGACGGAGAGCACCCGTCTTCTGTTCATCTGTCCCATCGCTCCTCTTGCTACCCAATTTATACCCCCTTCTCCAGGTAACCCGTCCCTGGAGTGAAACTCCAGAGCCATTGACGGAAAGGGAAGCCAATGAGAGTTTGGGATCTGCTGAGGGAACGGAGGTGAGGGGAAGCCTCTGGCAAGAAGAGTCCAGATTCCCCAGGCGGGAGCGAAGCTCTGCAGTCGGGGCGGGTGCAGCTTGGGTCAATGAACAACACTATCGCCCAGAGACCTCTGCTTCTGGAGCTGCCGTGGGATCTGTAGTGGCCATCTCAGGTTCCATTCGTGCTGTGATACCAGACAAGGCGGAAGGGAGCAAGCCAGCTTCTAGAATCATTGCCCGTATAGCTACCGGATGGGCCAATCATAGCTGGATGACGGCCTAGCAAGCCTGAACTCGTAACAGCACAGACCCAGGAGCTATAACAGATGTGGGGAGCGCTCAGTCTCTGTGACAGCTGCAGCTAGCACGGCTGGTGGGGAAACACACATGCTGCTCCATCTTGGGGGGACTTGACCAGCAGGAATGAGGCTGGAGCTCAGGGCACAGACTCTCTCTAAATCCTCCCCCAACACCATGGAGAGACTGCAGGTAGCATCTGGGCTATATGTCCCAGGCAGAGCGTTTGCTGCCCCCAGAGAGGTTTCAATCACCGAGGGTGACTTATAGCGTGTGCATGAACATTAGTGTGTGTGACCCATCACTTCCAGCTGTCACAGGCTGCTGGGGGCCAGGCATGGGGATATCAGCTCCTCAAAGCACCCGGCATCGAGGGGAGACAAAGTTCACAGACAGGGGGCACACGTCCCTTCAGAAGGTGCAGAAGCAGGAAGCAGTGGTGGGCCTGGGCAGAGTCACCCTCCAGAGCAGATGCTCACTCCAAGTCTTGGCATGTCCCAGGTGGGCTGGTACTTACCTGTCCTGTTGGGGGCATGCGTGGGGCTGCTCTCAGAGACAGCAACAGCGGAGGCATTGGTGGGAGCAGCAGAACAGCACATGGAAAAACATGGAGGGCTGAAACACACGGCGATGCTACGGCCGGGCAAGCGATAGGCAGAGTCAGGCCCATTCACTGTCACTGCAAGATAAACACCAAGGAGACTTGCTATGAGCCAGCATCAGAGGGATGGAACAGCATAAGCAGCACTAAGACAGCCCCTAGGAACCCCCAGCACTGAGACCCGGCCCCATCCCCTCTGCTGTATCCCAGCCCCCGGGACCCTCCGGC